AGAATTTTTGCATCTATATTCATGAGAGATATTGGTCTGTAATTTTCTTTTTTCGTGGCATCTTTGCTTGGTTTTGGTATCGGCGTTATGCTGGCTTCATAGAATGAATTCAGAAGTGTCGCTTCCTTTTCTATGTTCTGAAATAGTTTGAGTAGTACTCATACAAGCTCTTCTCTGAATGTTTGGTAGAATTCTCCAGTGAAGCCATCTGGGCTGGGGATTTTTTTTGTTGGGAGTTTTTCTTATTGCCTTTTCAATCTCTTCTCTTGTTATGGATCTGTTCAGACTTTCAACATCACTTTGTGATAGTCTGCGTAGGTAGTGTGTTTCTAGGAATTTATCCATTTCCTACAGGTTTTCAAATTTGTTGGAGTATAGTTTTTCATAATACTCTGTTATGATCTTTTTTATTTCAGTTGGGTCTGTTGTAACGTCCCCCATTTCATGTCTTATTTGGGTTATTTGCGTCCTCTTTTGTTTCTCTTTTATCAGTGTGGCCAGTGGTTTGTCGGTTGTTTCAAAGAACCAACTTTTGGTTTTGTTAATACTTTCTATTGTTTTTCTATTCTCTATTTCATTTATTTCTGCTCTGATCTTTATTATTTCCTTTCTTCTGTTGGCTGTGGGCTCTTTTTGCTGTTCTCTATTTGTTTGAGTTATGTAGTTAATGTTTTGATTTTGTCCCTCTCTTCTTTTTTGATGTGTGCATCTATTGCTATAAATTGTCCTCTGAGGACTGCCTTCACTGTGTCCCAAAGGTTTTGGTATGATGTGTTTTCATTCTCTTTTGATTCTAGGAATTTTTTGATTTCATCTCTGATTTCTTCTATTACCCAGTGGTTTGTAAGCAGGTTGGTATTCAGTTTCCATGTAATTGATTTTTTTTCCTTGCTCTTTCTGTTGTTAATTTCTACTGTGATGGCGCTGTGGTCAGAGAGAATACTTTGTATTATCTCACCATTTTGGATCTTGTTGAGGATTGCTCCGTGGCCTAAGATGTGGTCT